CGGGGGGCGCCGGGGGGCGGGCAGGGGCGAAGCCGGCTGCCCTGGGAAAGCCGTGTCCGCCGGCACCCCCTCCCCGGGAGAAAGTTAAAAGCCGTGGCTGGCGGAGCGAGGAGCAGGTGGAGCACGCTGCGAGTTGTGCTCCCCCCGCCGCCGGGCGCCTCGGGAAGGCGAGTTGTGACCGGGCCGTGTCGCGTCGCCGGCGGGACTGCCCCCCTTCACCCGCCGGGAGGGACGACGAGGGCCGTGAGGCCGATGGAAAGCGACGGCTCAAAAAACAAACAAACAAAACAAACCCCAAAATCCCAAAACATGTCGCGGAGCTGCCTTCGTACATCGTTGGGAATGGATGGATGAAGCGCGCCGGCTCTGAGCGGCGTTTTAAAGGCGACTTGTGATCTGGAGGAGGCTGGTTGTGTGTTGGCTGCCCCTGCCGCTGGAGTGGGGAGGCTGGGCTGGGGCTGCGGGGGTCCCTGGCAGCTGGTGCAGGTGTCGGGAGGATCTGGTGCTTGGCTGTGCAGATGGGAGCCGCCTTGGTTGGTAGCAGTTCGGCGCTGTTAGAAGTAAGAGGGGTGACTGGAAGCTGGACTTGTACCCAGTTGTTTATAAGTTAGGAATATAGAGACTATGGATTTCTTTTTTTTTTTTTTCTCTTGTAAGCTCCCCTTGGACCTCATTTGCTTTCAGGATAACGTAAATGGAATTCTTTGCCTGATGTCACCAAGGTTCACAACCTTAGTTCACAGTTCCTGACTAGCTCATTTGTTGTGGTAGGTCCAGCACTGCAGAAATAAAGTTTCTGGGGCCATTTTTGGAAGCTATGCACTATAGTGAACTTGGAGTTAGAAAGCCCTATCTTCTGATAGGCATGGCGTTAACTTTTCCTACGCTGAACCTGTTGCAGATCTATTGATACTACTCTGCAGTTTATACTGTTGTTGGATCTTTTATTCAGAACTAGTGTTGCTGTGTAGACTTGTCATTCTTTTAGCAAAAGTGGAAATTGTGCAAAATAGCTGCAGTTCTGTCCCTTTCGTGCTTCTTAAATCATCTGCATGTGCATCAAGTATTGTGACTTCTCAACTCTCCTCTGACTCGAACCTTTCCTGGAAACATGGGACCACATAATACAGCCATTTCCTGCCTGGATCTGGTGTCTCACGTGTTCTCACAGTGTCTCTAACTGTTCCAGTGGCTGCTCAGGGCAGGGTGTTTGTGCCTTTTTTAGGTGTGTAATGTTAAAGACGTGGGTCAGTGATTGTTGCTGATGGAATTTAACCCCTATAGATAGGCTGGTAGGTGGGAGTTCAGTTCTGAGGATGCAGTCAGATTGCTGTGGATGCTGCTGGATTAGCAGGAGCTAATGCTAGTGCTGCCTGTCTTGCTCACAGTGCATTGAACATGACCCCCTTACCTGCCCTTAGCATTGTGAAGTTCCTGCTCTGTCGCACTGTGGGGTTGTCAGTGTGCAGCTTCCTCTGGGAGCTACACTCCTGTTTCTTTTGTCAGTCACAACACAGGGATGAAGCATCGTGTTGCCACCAGTCTGCCATTTACTTTTTGGCACTGCAAGAACATACCATTTTTCCTTTCGCTTAAACACAGCAATAGTTTGGATCTGCTCTTGCTAGTAGAGGCAATGATGCAGCTGCATCCAGCTTGCTTGTGCTGGGAACATACTTTACTATTGGCCCTCCTCACTGATAGAGGATCTGACTGGACTGTTCGCCTGCAAGAAACTTCCAAGGGTGATGAAAATGAACACCAAACCTTCCTGTGCAGTGATTGTGTTTGTCAGAGTAGAGGTGTGGTCTGTGGTGCTCTGTAGAGGCTGGAGGATTATCACCGGAAGGTTGAGCATTCATAGAAGTACAGGCTGACTTTGTCCTGTACTTGATGAACGTAGATAGAATGGTGTCTTGAAGTTAAGTAGGGGTTCACCTGACGCTGCTACTTCCCACTGGTGTGTTGTCTGTCATTTCAAGGTTGCATGGACAGCAGTACCATTTTGAAGTCTTAGCTCACATTGTACATGAGGAATCCAATGTGGATGTAGGGAATCACAGAAAATATAGGACTTTATTTTTGAGGGCTTTCTCGGCTGTGCTGGGAAATCATTGATGTGTTGCATGTCCTCATTATCTGCTTGTGTCTCACCAGAATCAATTTTTTATTGAGAGGGAAAGAGGTATAGAGCCTTCTGCCAGTGAGAACCAGACAGTCTGATTTTGAGGAACGATATGACAGGCTACTTGTTGCTGTGTTCTGAAATTCTTCATGTCATATTAAAAGCAACCTGTAATTTTCTGTGCTCACAGGCACTCTAGATCTTCAGCTTTGAGCCTTTCATTAGCTCCCTCTGGCACTGCTTCATGACAGTCACGGTTTAACCTCTCTAGAGGTAAAATTCAGGGATATATTAAAAGTTGCAACACTTAATGTAGAATGTGTTTATTAACAATAACTGGAATGATTAGTAGATTTGTAGCTATGAAATTGGAATGCTGTTGAGAAGTGAAGACATCTTGTTAGCTACCAGGGTCAATTCTGGATTCTTTCTTATACACAGTATCTCCTGCACATTTCTTTTTCTACTACTGGGAGGTTTTTGAGAGGCCGTATGAAGTATGGTTTAATCTTTAGTGGGATCCTCATGGATGATGGCATGTGGAATCCAGAAACTGGCTCTGAAGTGGCTGGGAAGGCACCAGGAGCTCTTTTCTGCTCTTACCTTAGGCTACTCCTATCACTTGGTCTAACGTGAGCTCAACAGAGGTTGCTGATGCTTTTTGACTGCACTCTGGTTCCCCTGCAATATATGTAGCCAACTTCAGAATTTACAGTTATTTCATTGCCTCTGACTTCTTGGGTACTTTTTCTTTCCACCAAATCATGACTTTGGCTCTCAGAATGCTGAGAACCAAGCAAAAAAAGTAGTGATGATTGTTTTTTCCTCAGGTAGATGGAGGTCCTCATTACCGATCCTTTTACCCTGCTATTTTTCTGTTCTTCCTGTGTTAGATAAGATTATGGCCAGAAATGCAGTGTAGGGGACAGGAACTGATGTAAGGATCTTCAGCATCTCTGTGGAGAGAGGAGAGAGCCGGTGATAGCAACCTTTGTATTTAGGTTCTAGATACATGTGAAAGGGGGATGAGGAGAGGTGGCTGGTGGAGCAGCAGTAGAGACTGGTGGTCCCACTGCTGAGATCTCTGGGTCTCTTCAAGCAGCTTTTAACCTGAGTAATCGACGTTGATCTACGTCACTTCAGGTCAGCAAAAATCTTCAGTCAAGCTAAGAGCCGAGCTGGTGCTTTTACTGTGCTTGATGTCTGTGGATACAGTGACCTGTTCAGGCAGCTTTCAGTGGAAATCTTCATGTCTCAAGAAGACTCTGAACAAATCTTGGCTGCCTTAAGCTAAAGTTTAGTATTGCAAACTCCAGAATCTTAGTTGAATCTTAGCACTTCATCTTGAAGTGGAGAGAAGATGCAGACTAAGGACAAGTGTAAATGCTGGGCTTCAGACTTCTGCTTCAATGTGTTTTTAGAATAGATAATTAGTTCTGTTTGGTTGTATTTGTTTTCTCAATGTTGCTGCCACAAAAAGTGAGAAAAGTAGGAGTGAATGCAGAGGTAGTGGTTAAGGAATGTCATGTGCTTTGTAATCTTAAAAGTGGCACGTAGCACAGCCTCAGCTATAGCCACTGTGGCATCACATCTGTAGCCATGAGCTTGAGTAGGGACAATGCTGAAGTGTCCTGTTTACGAAACAGGTAGGGCCTGGCTGGTTGTTCCACAAAACAAAGTGTCCTGAGGCCTGCACAGCAGTTGTCTGTACTTAGAGGGGTAGAAGCTTGTTGGTCCCTCCTAGGAGTCTTCAAGCTGGCTTGAGAAATACTCTAGCAGCCATCTCTCTCTTGCTGTGTTTCATGGGGGACCTGTCTCTTGTGGCAACTTGATCTCCATCCTGAAATTCATACTTTCCCTCAAAGGGCTTTAGACAACCAGAACGATGTCCAGTTTTAGTATTTGGTCAAGTTCTCTGCAGTACACGTGGAGCACCCTGCCAGACTGATAGCACCAGTTATTTTCCTTACACTTTTTGTGGGTCTGAGTTGGACCAGTGCAGAGCTAGCTCCCTTTGATGTCTATGATAAAGCATTTATGCAGAGGGAATGCGGTCCATCTTTTTTAGTGTTGCCAAAAGGATGCCACAGAGCACAGATGACATCACAGTATTTGCAGGTCCAGAGCCATGAAGACCTGGATTTTGAGCATACAGTTTCTAGCCTGGCTGGCTCTGCTCGTGTGGGACTGTTTAGAAAGCAGTGGCATGCTGTTCCTCAAACTTTCACCCAGTGAGGCAAGGCAGGATCCAGGGCAAAACAAATGCTGATGCAGGAGTTGGCAGCAAAGAGAAGTGTGAAGCAGGCAGTTCTCTGTGTGACAAACCTGAGTACAGAGGAGGGCAGTAGTCAGAGCTATCTAGAGACAGTGGTGTGTGAGCTCAAAGTGAGAAGAGATCAGGAATGATTGGCAGGAAGATCTTACAGACTAGCTATTCAGATACATGCTAAGTGAACCAGCAACATTTCAGAATTTACTCCTTCAGAAGTGTTCCAACAAATCTAAATTGACAGCTTGAGTTAATAGCGGCTCAGCAGCATTCAAGTTTGTTACTGGTCTCACAGTAACTATTCTAAAACTAGATTTACTCTTCCATGGAGTCATGGCCTATGGTGCTGAAATACCAAAAGAGTTGTCTTGGTCAGTAGTATGCTTCGATTAAGTAGAGATTTCAGCAGAAGAGGCTGTTTCTTAAGTGACTGCCAGCTACAGTGTACTGAAGTTACAAAATTAAAAATGGTGAGTGATGGCAGTGCGACAGAAAGTACCCCCAACTGTTTAGCGTTATTTCTTATGTCAAAAGCTTGGATGTCAACCTTTGAATGCCTGGAGATGAAAATGAGGAAGTAACTTCTCCAGTTTCAGAATAACCTTTTGGTCAAAAAAGCTTAGCAGCAACTTGCACAATTTGTGGAAGGGAGCCAGGGACCTTTTCTCACTGTTGCATTTGGAGAGAAAATGCAAATTCCCATTGTAAAATAAGATAGGACTGAATAAAAGATGAGCATGGGAGGTGAGGTGACGTGTAGTTGAACGGAGCAAATAATGGAAAAGTCCAGAAGGGGCAACAGGTGATGTATGAAGAGGATGGAAATTTTGAAGAGGGTAGAAGAGATTGTCTGGTAAACTTTGTAAGCTATGATAAATTCAGTTTGGAAGAGCCTTTTTTGGTTTTTTAGAGAATAGAAAATGGACAATTCAGGATTACCACCAATTTTGGAAGTGACAAATTCCCTTTCAGTTCTGATAATATAATTAGTGCGGTATGACCTTATTGTCCTAATTAGGTTCTGCTGTGATTTGGTAAAAAAAAGTAATTCTTTAGCTCGTAAGATTAGTTCAGAATTTTTGGCTTTCAAATTGAAATTTTCCTTTCTTCCCATTACCCCAACTCCCCCAACCACAAAACCCACCCTAATTCCTAAAGACTTTTAGTATTTTGAAGTGTTAAGACATGGCTTGCTTTGGTTTTTTTCAGTTGACAAGTTGTTTGTTATTGCAGAGATGCAGACCACTGAGCACTGCTGTTATCTTTCTGGTTTGTTTTGATCTTTTACAGGAGTATAAAGTTTGTTATAAGATGTTGGGAAGTGTTTTGTGGTCAACACCAAATGTGGTGTGAACTACATTTTGAGTTGTCTTTTGTATGGCTGCCTATAGTGCTGGGAAACCGCAGTTTATTCCCAAAAGGTTCTTCCACTTCAGTATTTGTAGAGCAGTGCGATTATTCCCCATGTGCCGTAGCCTGTGGTCGGATATTGTTCATTTGTCTCATAGATGTAAAGCAAGATCCCTCTTAAAGCTCTGTCTGTGATCCCATCATGCTTCCTGATTGGAAATATACCTTTTCCTGTGACTTAATGTGAAATTTGTATGCATAGTATGTGCAAAGAAGTTGTTCCATGAGCAACTGAGCTAGTGAACCTTTATTTCTTAGAAAGACGGGGACAAACTTTTTAGCAAGGTCTGTTGTGATAGGACAAGGGGTAATGGTTTTAAACTAAAGGAGGGTAGATTCAGACTAGACACAAGAAAAAATTTTTTTTTTTTATTTTTTTTTTTATTTTTTTTTTTGATGATGAGGGTAGTGAAACACAGGCACCGGTTGCCCAGAGAGGTGGCAGGTGCCCCATCCCTGGAAACATTCAAGGTCAGGTTGAACAGGGCTCTGAACAGAAAGAATTTTTTTTTTTTTTATTTTTTTATTTATTTTTTTTTTTGATGATGAGGGTAGTGAAACACAGGCACCGGTTGCCCAGAGAGGTGGCAGGTGCCCCATCCCTGGAAACATTCAAGGTCAGGTTGAACAGGGCTCTGAACAGCCTGGCCTAGTTGAAGATGTCCCTGCTCGTTGCAGGGGGGTTGGACTAGATGACCTCTAAAGGTCCCTTTCAACCCAAACTATACTATGATTCTTAGAGATGTGTGCTCTCTGCTCCTCAGCCAATCCTCCTTTCCTGTTTGTTTGTTTTGGTTTGTGTTTTTTGTTTTTTTTTTCTGCATACATGTCATCTTTTAGCAACACTGCTAATTTACTTTCATTCTGCCCCAAACCCAAAGCAGCTCACTGCTGTAGTATTTTAATTCCTTCTCTTCTTTCCCTAGTTACGAGCTGAATCAGACATTGCTTGTTCTGCAGGTTTTAAGACTATTTGCATACTGACCGTTTATGTACTGATTACAGGCTAAACAGAGCCAGTAACTGTTAAGTGAAATATTCAGCCTTAGTCTCCGTGCAGGCATTTTTTTCATTCACTACTTAGTTCCTGATTTTCATGAAACTTGCAGGAATTTAAAATGAGACTGGATTGCTTTGTCTAATTTGATTGGCATTGACTGTAGGGCAGTGTGTTTGTGTAGGCCTCATTTCCATAAGAAACCAGGGTAAAAAATGCTGTAGGAATAAATTAAGAAAACTTGCATTGGATACATATTTTTAGATTAGTTTTTAGCATACTATATATTCAGACAGGAAAATTAATGTTAAAATGACACAAAAACTTTATGTGTTTTGAAACAGTGTATCTTACAAGACGCCCAAAATTAGGTTGATAGCTTAGCATGATAATCATGTAACATCCATTTAATTTGAACCTTCAAGAAAAAAGCCTGTGCATTTCACATAAATGTCCAAATACTCATTTTCACCATAGAGATACCTCCCACATTTAGGTGAAAATAACTTACGGAATATAGTTAGAATTGGTTTGCTGGTTATTGTAGTAGCTAATCACGGTAAATTCTGTTGGAAATAATGGAATCTAGCCAAATCATTAAAAATAAGTTGCATTTCAGATGATGCATTTCTGTGGTAGGGTTTTTTTTTATATTGTTTGCGGGGTTTTTGTTTTGTTTTAAGGTTTTACAAAAACAGTAATTTTGAGAAATTTCCATCTTTCTTTGTGCGATGAGGCAGACAATGTTTTGAATACAGAGGGCTGTCAACTACAACTGGAAAAAAGTCATTGTTGTTTTTTGAAGTAGTATTTTTGTTGTTGTTAGAGCAGCAGATGAAATAATGGAATGGAAAAAATTCTTTTCATAATGGTTAAAGTCTTTATGAGCAGGAGCTTTTGTTTTTCATTTAATTAGTGAAAGGAAAATAGCATTTAACAGACAAAAACAGAGCATAGGCTTTAGGCTGCTGTTTTTTTTGTGAAAATTTTTTGTCTTTGTCAAAACCAGCTATTTTGTTTTGAAATTTTACAATGAAAATGCAGTTTGTAAATGGTTTTATCTCAATGGCACTGTTTCAAAGTATTTTTTGTTTTCAGTTTACATGTGTAATGTAAATAAAAACACTTTAAATCTAGAAAGAAAAGACAACTGAGAAAGCAAGTCACATTTATCAAATGAAACAAACTTAGCTCTTTATCATCTCTGTTCTTTTTTTCTATCAGTTGCTTACAGATTTCTTTTCATAGATAGGAAGGCCTGTTGTTAAATATAAGATTTGTTTTTCAAATTCTACTGATGTAAAATGATTTGTAGAAGTTGGACAGACTTATATTTGGATTTCTTTATGAAGTGTTTATTACCTTTCTTTTTGAAGTAGTTAGTATTTATGCAGAAGATGCAGATTCTAAAATGGAAGGGGAGGGGGGAAAGCACATATGGTTGTTTAGGAATGGCAAAAAATTAATCTTGACAGCTAACTATATAGATTTTTTTTTTTTCCTGTATTGCAGGAACTGAAGCTTGCTCTTTAAAAGGTGCAGTGCAGTGACCGTAGAAAAATGGACATGTTGCAGATACTACGTAAAACCACAGAGCGCTTAGAGTGTGATCACTGCAGCTTCAGAGGAACAGACTATGAAAACATACAAATTCATATGGGTACCATACACCCAGAGTATTGTGATGAAATGGATGCTGCTGGTTTGGGTAAACTCATATTTTATCAAAAAAGTGCAAAACTGTTCCACTGCCACAAATGTTTCTTTACCAGCAAGATGTACTGCAACGTATATTATCACATCACAGCACAACATGCAGCACCTGAGAAGTGGAATGAAGAGCGGAAAGAACAGGTAGAAGGAGATTCAGATTCCTCCAAAAAAAGTGTCACATTGGAGTCGCAGAACGAATCGCGCAAGTCTGCTCTTTCTCCTGAACTCGCCAAATCTGAACCTGTTGTTTCCCCCAAGCTTCAGAAATCTTCAGGGTCCCCAGAACCCCAGAAGTTGGCTCAGGCGACTTCATCAGAGCAGGAGAAGTCATCCCAGGCCACATCCCCAGATCCAGAAAAGTCATCCCAGGCCACATCTCCAGATCCAGAGAAGTTAGCCTCAGCTGTGTCCCCCGACTCAGAGAAGCCATCCCCTGCTGTGTCCCCCGACTCACAGAAACCAACCCCTGCTGTGTCCCCTGACTCACAGAAACCAACCCCTGCTGTATCCCCCGACCCACAGAAGCCAGTCCTGTCTGTGTCTCCAGAGCCCCGTCGGCATTCCCCAGCCGTGTCTCCAGAGCCTCGTCGACATTCCCCAGCAATGTCTCCAGAGCTCCGTCGGCATTCCCCCGCTGTATCACCAGAGCCCCGTCGCCATTCTCCTGCTGTGTCTCCAGAGCCCCGCAGATACTCCCCAGCTGTGTCACCAGAGCCAAAGAAACCTACTCCAGCAGTATCCCCTGAACCACGAAGGTATGCCCCAACTGGGTCTCCTGAGCCCCGGAGGCATCCTTCTCAAATGCGTAGACCTGCTTCTGCTTCTTCTCCCGAAACCCGGAGGCCTGGCCCTGCAGTTTCACCAGAGTCATGGAGACCCGGTCCGACCGTTTCTCCTGAGCCCTGGAGATCTACACCTCATGAGGTGCAGAAGTCTTCCACAGTTTCTCCCTGGGCTCCAAAGTCTGCCATGTCGGTAGAATCCCGTAGGTCTGCCCCCGAGTCCCGAAGGCCTGGTCCCGTTGTGTCACCAGAGCCTAGGAGACTCGTCTCTGACTCGTGGAAATCTACGTCCTTTTCTGAATCCCAGAAGTCTACTCTTGTTTCTTCTGAGCCGTGGAAACCCATCTCATCTGTTTACCCTGAAGGCTGGAAACCTGTTCTGTCCCCTGACACGTGGAAGCATTCTGCCCCCGTTTCTCCTGAGCTTCGAAAATCTAGTCACACTGTTTCCTCTGACTCTTGGAAGCCTTCTTTCTTTCCTGAGGTCCGTAAGCCTGGTGCTTCGGTATCTCCTGAATCTTGGAAACTCTCTGAGTCCCGGAAATCGATGTTTTTTTCTGAAACTCAGAAATCCACCTCTGCTGCTTCCTCTGAGGTTCAGAAACGGGCTCATTTCCCTGAACCTCGGAAAAGAGCTCTGTTCCCAGAGTCTCGTAAATCTAACCCTACAGTTTCTGCTGATGTCCAGAAACGTGGTGTCTTTTCTGAGCCCCAGAATCAGGTGTCTACTTCTGCTGTTTCTACTGAAGCCCAGAAATCAGCTCTTGTTTCTCCTGAAGTCCAGAAGCACGCCCTATTTTCTGAAGCCCAGAAACTTGCTTCCATTTCCTCTGAGGTTCAGGAGCATAGTTCCTTTCCAGAGTCTCAGAAATCTGGTTCTCCTGAAATTCAGAAACACGGACTCTTTACTGAGTCCCAGAAACCTACTCCTTCTGTTTCTCCCGAGACCCCCAAACAAGCTCTTTTTACTGACTCCCAGAAATCTGCTGTTTCCCCTGATGTTCAAAAGCATGGTGTATTTTCTGAGATGCAGAAGCCTACTGCTGCTTTATCCTCTGATGGCCAGAGACATGCTGAAACTACTGTACCTTCTGAAATCCAGAAGAACATCCTGTTTTCCGAGCCTCACAAGTCTGCTGCAGGTTTTTCCTCTGAGCCCCAGACACCGAGCGAGTCTGGCGAGAGTGACTTTCTTTCTCACAGTTTAGATGATCAGAAACCACTGGATGATTTATTCTCACAGGACGAACAATCGATATTAGCCAAAGAATCACCAGAAGACATGTTATATTCATGCCCCAAAAAGAAGCCCAAGAAGGAAAACCAGGAGAACTCGGATTCTGAACTTAATAGCAGTGAGTGTGGAAAAACCGACATGGACTCCATGGAGATAAAGGAGCAAGAATCCAACAGTGACCAAGAGCAATATGATATGGAGTCATCTGATTACGGCAAAGAGAGCAAAATGGATGCTACTGCTCCCATGCAGCCACAGTGTGTGCTGCAGTTTACCGAAGAGAAAGAGGCCTTCATCTCCGAGGAAGAAATAGCGAAATACATGAAGCGTGGCAAGGGAAAGTATTATTGCAAAATTTGTTGCTGTCGTGCAATGAAAAAAGGTGCTGTCTTGCACCATTTAGTTAACAAGCATAATGTTCAAAGCCCATACAAGTGTAAAATATGTGGCAAAGCTTTTCTCTTGGAGTCTCTTCTTAAAAACCACGTTGCTGCTCATGGTCAAAGTTTGTTGAAGTGTCCGCGTTGTAATTTTGAATCAAATTTTCCCCGAGGCTTTAAGAAACATTTAACCCATTGCCAAAGCCGTCATAGTGATGATACACCTAAAAAACACTTGGACAGCCTTGAACCACTTGAAGAACAAATTTAATCTGTTTTTTTTTTCCCTTGTGCTAGAAAAGCTGAATTTACTGAGGTGTTCAAAAGTGTTGCTGTATGTTAACCGAGTAGTTTAGCTGATCTGACAAGTCAGAAGATGCATGGTTTATTGTACTATGTTTAACTTGTCTTATAGCTGTATTACTGAAATGATTTACTTTTGAAAGTAATTTTAAATACGTGTTCATGTCTTTGTATTACCCATCAGTAGAGTCATGTTTTATTTTTCAGATGTACTATGTTTTTGAAACCAAAATGGATACAAATTAGTTTTGTAAAGATTTGTAAAACAGACAGGCAATTAAGGACTGGAGTGGCAAGCAATCCATATATTCCTGTGAAGACTGAACTTTTTTCACAATTGTTAAATGTCGTATTTTTAAAAATGTTTTTAACAAAATCTCAGAATTGAAATTCTCCCCAAATTGAATGTGAATGACCCAGGCACGAGAAACTACCAATCTTTCTGGAGTAATTTTACCCTGAGGTTGTAATTGAGTGTGTAGTCATTCCTTGGAAAATTACTGCACTCAATTCTCTGATTTACTTGTCTCAGATTTAGAAGCATCAAGGTACTTATTTTGTGATTCTGTATTTTGGCCATGTTTTAAGCATGTACTAATATACATAAATTGGTGGATTAACGTCGGACTATGTATAGCTCAACACTTTCTCTTGATGATTCAGATGTTTGTAATGTCAGAAACCCCCTAAATTTCTTGTATTTGGTGAAATGTTATGCTTTAATCTTTTAACAATAAAAAGAAACCCAACTTGGCATTGGCTGTTTTTCTTTTTTTTCCAAATCAAGACCAAAACCTTTCATGTTGAACATATTCTCTTTTAAGTATCTTTAGCAACGGGAGATGCAAAATTATCCTGGAGTTCTGCTCTGAATATTTCAGCTTTCCACTCATCAGCCTATGAAAGCGAAGTTAGTTTAAATTTCCTGTCTGCTTCAGAGAAACACGTTTAAATGAAGGGAAAGCCTGGAAAACAGGAATTTGTGCACTGTTATTTAGCATGCTTGCTTTTGTGCTATTTGCATATTAACTGTTCAAAACCGAAAGTTCTTTATAAGTCAGCAGGAGTATAGTTTTTAAGCAGAGGTTGCACAAGGCAAGTTTCATTCTCCTCATACTAAATTATGCCTAGACTTAAACTGTTGCATATATGAGCTTAGAATATGAAGATGGTAGTGTAAAATAAATAATAATTACAAAATCTTCAGGTGTAAGCGCTCTTACCTGAGAGTTTCAGGTTGATTTCATTGAAGCCTGTGTCTGGTATCTTTTGTGTTTCAAGAGGATTTCTGGAAGGAAGGGAAAAAGCCTTTGAAGTTCTGTGCTTGGTGACTTCTCAGGGCTGGCTATTAAGAGCAAAGCTTTCCTGCAGGGTCCTCTCACACAGGACCAGACATGCTCTGCCCCTAAGTCCAGTCCCCTTCCTTTCCTTTCATGAGATCCAGACTAGAATTGTAGAATTATTTTTTTTCCTAGAAGTGACTAGAGATCAATTCAAAGGAGAGCACTTGACTATTAAGGCTCTGCTAGTGTAGTTTTTCTTTATATAAAAGCTGCTTTTCTCCTCTGCTATCATTTCATCACTCTTGGCATGTCATTTGGTTAAAAAGATGCTATTTGAACAAAAGGAAGAAATCAAAGAAGGATTTGCTTGAATTGGGAGCGGTGTCACCTTCACAGTTTGATGTGTCACTACTGACAGATATTTCTCACTACTCTGTACCAGCTGACTTCCTTGATTTCGGGGAATCCATCATCAAGGCTTGATGCTGTTTCTCTACTTTTTTTTTTTTCTCTGACTACTTGATTTCTTAATCTTGGTTCACAACTGTCAAAGTGTACTTTATTGCTCTTGGAGATGAACTTTGCAAGTCCCCTTGATGTTAGGGCATTCAGTCTCTTTAAATCCAGATATGATGGACACTTTCTGGTTTCTTTTAGTACAGAATTTTGTACAAGCCTCATGGAAGATGAAGGACGTTTCTGGTGTGTATTTTTTTTTGTCTAAGCTAAGTATTCTTTCGCCATTCCCTTACACAATGCTAGTTTGAGATCCTTAAGATGTGTAGGAGGATCTACTGGGATCTAAACTGATTTAACTAATTTCTCGAAGGAACTGTAGGGCACCAATAGACAGGTCAGATTGTGGATTTGTTTCTCTTTCATAGATGGGGATAGATAGTCATGTAATAGATGACCTATTTTAGATGCTGAGGAGAAGGATGAATAACCTCGAGTACAAATAGTGATCATTCTTTTTTGACATGAGAAAGAAATGCGAGCACTTCAAGACATACCAGTGAAGGAATTTGCTTGAAGTATGCCTAGTGCTATAATTTAATCCTTGGCTACTCTCTGAAATAACTTCAGTTGAAATTGTTACTAATTTTGTTTTATATGTTAGAGGATGAAGCAAATACGGAGGTCTGCGGTTTCCAGAAACTGTGCTACGTATTAAGTCGCGGGGGCGTTTTATCAAAGCCCTGAGGGTTGCGTGTGACCATCTCACTCAGTCCTGTTCTTTAGCAGGGGGACCCTTTGGGGTCAGCTCAGTGTAGTTCTAACTTCAGTTTCCTTTGGAGAAGGAGTTTGGTTGGGAAACAACAGGATCAGGTCAGGAGACAGTAGCTGGGGTGAACACAAAGTTTACTTACAGTGCAGGAACTGCAGTTCCTTCCCTCTCTGAACCCTGTGGAATGCTTCTGCCTGAGAAAAATGTAATTATGTACCTTAGATGTAAAGAAGGCATCTATACTTTTTTTTTTCCTTTTTTTTTTTTTCCCCCCACAGTGGCTATTTATAGCCTATGCTGAGAAATGTGGTAGACAAATTCCAAATCCAGTCTGTACTGGGGGTGCGGTGGCTCATAGGTGACGTGTACAGCTATGGAGTAATTACCTTGGTAGGTAAAAGATGAGAAGCCTGTTTGGAAACCAGTGTATTAGAGTGTAGAGAAAGTGTAGAGCTCCAGTTAGAGCGGGGCTGGAAGGAGATCTCATTTAAGTAATAGAGATGAGTAAAATTAAATTTGGAATTTTTAAAGATTTTTGTAAAAATCCTTAGATTTTTTTTTTTTTAAATCGTGCTTGGGATTGGATATAGCAGGTTGTATATACATAAAATTCCTTTCTTTTTCTTCGTATATTAGTATAATAAACAAATTTCAGAAGCAGAAAATCTTGTAGAAAATATAATTATTGAAGATTTGCCTATGGATTTATAGTTTTGTACTTTGGAGGTTTATTTTGTCGTGAGTGTTGAGTGATGTAGACCAGCTCACTCGTATCTTACTAGCATGAGTGCACTGAAGTCGCTGCAGTCTATGCTCATATTTATGTATTTTTAAAAGGAGAAGGAAGTTGTTGAACTTTCCCCACCGTACTGCTGTCATAGACCTGTTCTTTAAGTAAGTTTATGTCAAGTAATTTCGTTTCCAAAGAAGATTTTTGATGCTTACTTTCTGTGGGGAATGAGAAAGGTTGCTCAGAAAGGTAGGGAGGGTTGGGATTTTTCAGCGTGGAGAAGAGAAGGCTCCAGAGAGACCTTATAGCAGCCTTCCAGTATCTGAAGGGGGCCTACAAGAAAGCTGGAGAGGGACTTTTTACAAGGGCATATAGCGATAGGATGGCAGGTAATAGCTTGAAACTGGAAGAGGGGAGATTTAGATTAGATCTCAGGAAGAAATTCTTCCCTGTGAGGGCAGTGAGACACTGGAACAGGTTGCCCAGAGAAGTTGTGGATGCCCCATCCCTGGAAGTGTTCAAGGCCAGGCTGGATGGGGCTTTGAGCAACCTGGTCTGGTGGGAGGTGTCCCTGCCCATGGCAGGGGGGGTGGAACTCCATGATCTTTAAGGTCCCTTCCAACTCAAACCATTCTACAGTTCTAAGGGATTTCTTGGACGCTTCTTTTGATACATCCCAGGATAATAATCGTTGGACCCTGTGTTTCAAGCTCAAGGGTTCTCAGGGGGAGATGGAGGAGGAGTATGCTTTTATGATTCAGGGACCCTGTATGAGGATTGAGGGCTGTTGGGGAGAAATGGTATCCATCTGACAGCGTGGAGGAAGAGCAGCATCTTTGCCAACAGGCTAGTAAGCCTGACAAGGAGAGTTTTAAACTAAGAATGATGGGGGAGGGAGATGGCAACCTACAATTAAGGGAACAAAACATGGGAAAGGAGTGGAAAATAAAGGATGCAAGTGTCATGGGATCAGGAGACACCTGAGGAAGAACAAAATGGTGAAAGGAGGCCTACACCCCAAGTGTACGTATAAACACAAATGCTTGCAGCTTGGCCAACAAGCTGAAGGAACTAGAGCTGTGTGTGGTCACGGAGTGACACTGTTGAAATAACAGATGTGGTGGGACAGCTCACACATCTAAATCACTCTACAGAAAAGGCAGGGAGGGAAGATTAAGAGAGAAAGCTGGTGCCCTACAGGTGAAGAAGCGTCTTGGATGCCTGGTTCTTCTACAGGATGGACAACAGCCTGGTGTAAGAGCACGTGAGTCAGGATCGGAGATGTCAGTTAAGGTGACATTATGATAAGAATTTGTTGCAGATCTCCCAACCAGAGTGAAAAAGCAGACAAAGCTTTCATTAAACAACTTGAGAAAGTCTGTATCTCAGATGCTGGTTCTTGTGAGGGACTTGGTCCCCCTGACATCTGATGGAGAGGGAGCATGGCAGGATCCAATTAACCTAGGAGATTTCTGGTGGGTGTCAAGGACAGCTTTCTGATACAGGTACTAGATGGGCAGTTGGGATGATGCACCACTAGGTCTGCTGTTCACAGACAAGAAAGTACTGGGTGGACATTTGATATTCAGTGGTAGACTTGGCTGTAGTGACCATGAAGTAGTGGGGTTCAGTATCCTGATGGGGGGAAGTAGCAGACAGAGTACAGACTGTACCAATTTCAGGAAATTGGCAGGTGGGATCACATGGGAGGCAACTCTGAAAGCTAGCAAGGCATTAAGGACAACCTGCCAAGAATGTACTATCCCAAGAGAATTTATCAGGGGACTAGCATGGCTAAACATGGTACCCATGACAGAACTCCAGCGCACAACACCAGTACAAGAGGGGCAGCAGACTATGAATCAGGGATTTAGGAACATTGTGAAGGATAGCAAGGGCAGTAAGAGCTGCTACTGCCAGAGTAGTAGAAAAAGTCTGAACAAGGAAAATGTGAGACCACTACTGAGTGTGGTGGGTGGATTAGTGACAGTAGACACACAGAAGACAAGACTCAGGTACCCAGTGCCTTTGTCTTGGTCTTCACCAGCAAGATCTCCCAGGCCTCTGTGATTAGTGAAAGGATTGAAGGTGTGGAAGATCTACCAGCAGTAAAGGTTGAGTCAGGAGTAATTTGAGAGGTCTAAACTCAGAGAAGTCCATGGGACCCTGCAGGTGCATGGCAGGGTGCTGTGATAATTGGCTGATGTAGTTGCAAGGCTGTTATATATCATCTTTCACAGAGCTTGGGAGGTCCTCTGTCACTGGAGAAAAGCAAATGCTGCACATATCTTCAAGAAAGTTCAGAAGGATGGTCCAGAATTTCCCTGGTCCTGGCAAATATTTAGCCTTTATAGTTCTGATAAAAATGATTAAAACAGATGTTGAAGATGAATGCTTCACTTGTCACTGGCATTCTATGAACATTAATACTTATGCTGACTCTGAGGAAAGATTCTTTTGGAAAATTAAAGGCACGCAGGGGGACATACATAGAAGAAATTTTACAGCTCTTTCA